CCACCACACAGCAGCCTCAAGATTATTATTAAAATGCAAGTATAAGGAAATTTATTTTATTTATTGATAGGTCCTCAGGCCAAGAATAGCTCCAGGAACATAGTAACATTTCCAGCTTAAATACCACTTCCTTAAAGAAGCCTTCGTTGGTGCCCTGGGGCTGGTTAGAGACCTACCCACAGGCAGGTGCACACACTTGCACTGTAGAGTACACTGTACATCTCTTGTGGCATTTATCATGGTTGTGATTAAAATTACTATAATGAAATGATGGGATAATATTGTCATTAAATAATTATTGGCATAATTATTTGTTTAATGCTGCCACACTATAAACCCCAAGAAGGCAGAGACCATGTCTTTCTCGTTCATCTCTGATTTCTAAGAGCTGGTAGACTGGCATATCGTGGGCCCCTGGAACTTTTGTTTAGTGGATGTTGGGCACTCTCCGTGTACCTCGTCTTCTGTATGACTTTATAAAGTGAGTGCTAATCATCCTTATGTTTTCATGTGACTCCTGAGGAAACTCATCAAAAATAAAGCCAGAACAAAGACAGGCACTTACACTAGTCAGGCAATACTGCTCCAGCTCTGCTCCATCTGGCGGGCTCTTGACATCGGTCAACGGTTTCCCATCTTTTCCTTCTCCTGGACCCATTTCCACTAAACTCTTCATGCATAATCTCAAACACCATCCCTCACTGTCAAATATGTTCTTAGAACACATTATCCATACTCAGGTGCCGATGGCTGGCCACTTAAGCTTCCTGTGAGGGGCTATACATTTATAGGGGGTTTAAGATTTAAAGCTCACAGGCCCAGCCTATTGGCAGACTTTTAGGCATGGACTCACTAAGAAAGCAGAGATCGTATTGTGGAGATTGTTGGTCAGAGGCTGACTTGGCTTTCTTTGGCTGCCAACGTCATCCAAAGTCCCTTCAGGGACTCCCTGTCTCTCTTCCAGGTAAGCAGGTGACCTGGAGCACAGTAGGAAGTACACATATCCAGGTCAGGAGGCCTTTGTCCCAGCAACAGTGTTGCACCAGTGTGCTGTGTGGCTTGAGAAAGCCCCTTGTACTTCCTGAGCCTTGGAATTTCCCTTTCTCCCAGATGAGGGTGTTGGGAGATATTTCAGATTCCTTTGAGCTCCGTATGTGTGGCTCCAACAGGTACAGCTCTCTGGTAGTTTAGAAGTAATCACGCACATTTGCACAGCCTTGTTGTGCACCCTGTTCTAAGAGCTGCACACACACAGACTTATTTGATGGTGATGGCCACACTCACTATGAGGCATTGTTCTGCTTTACACTTGAAGAGACTGAGGTCCAGAGGAGGTAATTCTCCTGCTCAAGGTCACTATTCCAGTGTAGTACAAACTGAAATCTCCCAATTTAGGCATGCAGCATAGCAGCTGTTTACACTCTGGCCAGGAGCTTGGGAAGGGCTCAGCTGGGCAGTTCTTGATGCATGCCTCTCAGGCAGCTGCCAGCAGGTGTCAGCAGCTGTGTCCAGATGTGCACAGGCTGGACACCCAGGATGAGACACTCACACGCCTAAACAGCTAAAGTGAGGGCCACCTTGTGGCTTCTCCAGCATGGAGGCTGACTGGTCCCAGGGGGTGGAACCTGAGTGAGCCTAAGAGGAACGTGCAGGAGATTTCTGACCCAGCATCCAATGTTCCGTGTGTCACATCTTCTGCATTCTCGCAGTTAGGAGTCAGTCATTAAGCTCGATCCGGATTTGAGGGGAGGGGACACCGATCCCACCTATCAACAGGAAAACGAAGAACATACACCTCAGGTTTTAAGATCACCACAGCAACCCAGCTGAAGAGTAGCAAAGCTTGACTTTGAACCTCCTGAAACTGGCTGGGTTCTGCGGATGTAACCACCACACGCCACCTGCTTTCGACATTAGGCATGCTTCCCGAGCCTCGCTGCTGGTCTCTCGGACATTCCTCATGGGTCCCTGAGTTCCTTTCCTGCCCCCAGCCAGTCTCCATCTCTCTGTTGCCCTTGCCCCTCCTCCCATGGGCCGCTCTCCTCCTTCCCTCATTGTAGGAAGCCACACAGAGCAGTAGGGAAGGCAGGGACTGGGCAGTAGGCTGCCCCAGATTCCAACCCCATTCCTTTCCCACTGTGACCTGGAGGAAGTCAATTTCACTCTGGAATCCTCAGTTCTTTATCTGTAAGTGGGGAGAGAGGTGCTAAGGATTTCTCTTTTATAAACTGGGATGGGAGTTTATTCATCTAATGAACGACTAGTCACTAAGCATTTTTTTTTGGGGGGGGTACTAGGAATTGAGCTCAGGCACCTGTCAGGCAGGTGCTTGTGCTGCTGAGCTATATCCTTGACCAGTGCTATACAGTTAGCCAGGCACTCTTCTGGGCTCAAGGGATGGACAGAAGACATTAAGCAATAAACAATAAAAGTTGTATATATACACATACACATACACATGAGATAAAAGATGTGTCAGATGGTCATAAGGGCTACCTAGCAAACTGAACAAGGATATGGAGGGCCTGGTGCTTCTGGAGGGATTTTTGTGACTACTAAAGGCAGAAGGGTAGTGAAGAAAGACTTTATTGGGAAAGTGAAACTTGAGCATCGATTCAGGAGAGGGAGCCCCGTGGCATTGCAGAAAGCAACGTGTCTCAGGTAAAAGGAACAGCAGTCCAGTGGGTCTGGAGCTGAATGAACCAGGGGATGTGGTGGAGTTGAGGAAAGAGAGGAAGCAGGGCCAACTATGTTAGAATCTTATAGAACTTGGACTTTGACTGAGTGAGATGGGAGCCATGGAAGGGTTTTGAGCAGAAAAGCAGTCAGTTTCTAGATACTTTTTGTCACAGAATTGATAGGAATTGCTCACAGGTTGAATGGGGTGTGTGAGAGAAAAATAAAAATCAAGAATGACTGCAAGATTTGGGGTCTATATAACTGGAAAAAAAATAGAGCTGCCATTTACCAAGACGGGGACGGCTGTGTGGGGAACACTCTTAATCATGGCACCTCGCTGCTCTCAAGATCCAGATCTGCTCCTGGGAAGAGAAGAGGGTGCAGGAGCCCCTCCCTCTCTTCCCTTGTGTTTTCCATATGTGGCAGCAGAATTGTAAGAATGATCCAGCAACTCCCACCCTTGCACAATCTCCTTCTGCTGGAGTGCAGGTGGAAAGATATCACTACCGTGATTATAAGGCACGTCAAAGGATATCACACAGCTAAAGCAAACCTAACCACACAGCCTCTACAAGCAAATCATATTCTCAGGCTACTAAGCAGAGAGGAGGGAAGAGTCAAAGGATGGGGGGGGGGTTTCCCACATTATGTTAGTGGCCTTATGTTAGATGGGGGCCATGTGAAAGGGTCAGAGAACCCTTTATAGGAGCTGAGATGATCTCCTGATTGACAGCCAGCAAGGAAACACAAACCTCAGTCCTACAACCATAAGGAACTGAATCCTGTCAATAACCTGAATATCTTGGAAGCAGATTCCTCTCCAATGGCTGCAGAGAAGACCCCAATCTGGCCATTTCCTTGTGAAGTCCTGAGCAGAGAATGCAGCTGAGGCCCCATAGATTTCTGACTTACAGAATTGTCTACCATGACATGGTTGTATTTTTAAGCTGTTTAGTTGATTGAGTAGCAACAGAAAATGAATCCCCATGTTAACCTAAACCTTAGCACCATCCAAAATGCAGGGTTCTCATCCCCACGGTCTGGCCGTGGAAAGAGATCAGTGAATCAGAGGGTTTTGCCCTACACCATTTGAGAACAGAGTATTGTTGGGGCTGACACTCTGGTCTGTCTCAGCAGGATGCTTAAAAACAAGAGGGAGTTGTTGCTGGGAAAGGGGAGCCCTTTGGGGCTTGGTTCAGGGGTGGGGAGCCCCTGGCCCTGGGTTAGGCCAGGCAGTGTGGCCTGGGTTTCCCACTCTGCTGTTTGCCCTGGAGCTCAGAGTGTCTGTGCTCATGGTGGTGAGCGTGAGGACTGTGATCACTGAGGGTGTATGTGTGGGACTGTGTGTGAGCCTGCTGAGTGTGTCTCAGCATCCTGCGAGTGGAGCGTGTCTGCTCATCAGAGTGTATCTGGGAGACTGAGGCAGTAAGGCCGTGTCCTGGCGTGAGAGTGTGTGCACCCACTGACGCGTGTCTGAGGGGGACTGAGTGGCTCCCAGGGCTGAGATGGGCAAAGCGGGAGAGGCAGGGAGTGTCTGTGAGGGTCAGGGCTGAGTGCTCCCCCAATGAAATTCAGGGTGCCTGTGAGGCAGGTGGAGCTTCCCTGGGTTTTGAGGGAGTCAAGGGTCTCCCCTATGTGGGAGGACGAGAGGCAAGGGCGTCCTGCCTGTGGCTCCCTATATCTGCTCGTGCCTGTGTACAGTCCGGGCGTGTCCGTTGGTCCATCCGCCTGTGTGGGGCTCCGTGCACGCCTCGGTGGGTGGGTTTGTCTGTCTAGCTGTCTGTGGGTGAGTCGGGCATGTCTGTCCAGGTACCTTCGCCTGGTCTGAAGCCTCTGCAGTGCCTCCTGAGGAGTCAACGTACCCCTATGTGTGTGCGTGCGAACTCGGGGTCTCTGCGAGGGACCCTGAGTGCCAGAGATGCTGTGTGGGTCTCTGTGTGTCCCTCTAGAGCGCGCCTGTGTCTCCGGGCGAGGCCTGTCTGGGTCGGTGACTGGACGGGGTGGGGGTGGGGATGGGTAGGGATTGGGGGCCCCAGGGACCCGCGCAAACGGCTAGACCGCGCCTCACTGCCCGCGCGCGCACACCTGCTGGGGCCGGGGGCGGCGAGAAGGGGAGCGGCCCGCACCCTCGGGCTCCCACGCCCCGCCGCCCGCTCCCCCTCCCCCGGGCGGCGCCGATTGGCTGCGGCGCGCGGCTCCGAGTCCGCCCCGCGCTGCCGGCTGGGGGCGCCGCGGGCCAGAGCGCGCTGCGCCGCCGCCGCCGCCGGGAGCACAGCGCGTCTCCAGCGCCCGACCGCCCGCCCGCCCGCCTGCCGCCCGCCTGCCGCCGGCCCCGCCGCGCCCGCCAACCCCGCCGCGGAGCCCCGGCCCGGCTCCGGGCCGCCGCCACCACGCCGCGCGCCGTACTCCGCGTCAAGAATGGGGCGGCCAAGCTGCCCAAGCCGCCCGCCGCCGCCGCCGCCGCGGCCGAGGCTCCCGGAGCGGGCGCGGGCATGGAGCGCTCGCAGAGCCGCCTCAGCCTGTCCGCCTCCTTCGAGGCGCTCGCCATCTACTTCCCGTGCATGAACTCCTTCGACGACGAGGACGCGGGTAAGCGCGCGGCCTGCCCCCGACCTTGGGGGTCGTCCCGGAGTGGAGAGCTGGAGGCCCCTTCCCGGACGCCATACGTTCTTAAAGCTGACCGGGGTCTGTCTCCACCCCCAACCCAGCTCGGGGAGGCGCCCCGGGCTGGGCTCTCCTTCCCTTCCATGGGACCCCGGGGGCTCCAGGATGCCATCCCTTATCCTTACCCTGGGGGCCCCTCGATCGTCTGCATTTACCCCTTTCTTTTAGTTGGGCCCTTGTGTCGCCCTGGACCCAACTGCCCATACTCACTTGCGTCTACAGGATACCCCCACCTTGCTCGTTCCTGGATGCTACTTGCCACTATCCATGAGTGTTCCATACAGTATGTGCCTACTCTTCAAGCCCTGTGGCACTGGCCATCTCAACCCTGGGGCTCTGGCGCACCCCCCCTCCTCCCGCCATTGGAGGTGGCACATAGACCTTACTTCTCCATCTTTGTCTTGGCTGCACCCAAAGGCTCCTGGCCCATGACCCCCTCCTGGCATCCAGGGCCTGGAGCGCCTGGTTTGTATGTCTAAACCTTTCCCCACAGGCTGAGGCTCTGGACGCCTGGTTCTTAGCAGACGAGGGGTGGTCGCTGGGAACTGGCTAGGTTATGGCCTTTCCTCTTTTTGCAGGAGCTTCCTGGAGGGAAGTGTAAGGCAGCACCAAATTTGCACTTGTGCCCAGTGCCCTGTCCCCAGGTGCTCCTGTCCCTGGAGTCGCCAGTGTGGGGTCTGAACCTCCCACTCCCAGGTTTTTGTGTCCCCTTAGCATGAGGAGCGGGAGGTGCAGGTACCTTGAGGCCCTGGGACCAGACAAAGGGGACCTTTAGAGCTCTCTAGATTTGGTTCTAGGTTGAGGAAGAGAATTCAACAACAGGTGGAGTAGGTGGAAGGCTTGGGCCAGAGTTCCCCAAAGAGTGCAGATTGGGAATCATAACCAGGCACCAGTTTTCCTTCCTTATAAACTGCAACCTTGAACAAGTTATGCCACCCATTCCTCTCAAGTTCCCCCATCTGTGAAATGGGGATGACAGTATCTTAACCGCAGAAGTCCTCTGTGGCTCTCCAAGAATGCAGGTAAAAGTGCTTTGTAAGCTGAAAATCTTCCAGTATTTGCTTTCAGTGAGGGGACAGTGCCTGTGGTGGGGAGGAATGAGATTTCACAGACACTTTGAAGACTGATGAAAATATAGACTTTGTCTCCAAAAAATGTATACATGGATCATGCAGGAAATTTATCTTGCAGTTATAGGGAGTTCATGGGTGGAGGTTTTGACTCCCTGCCTGCAGGGACCTTTCTGTGGTCGATACTGCTATCTAGCTAGGTTCTGTCTTGGGATTCAGTGGTGGGTGATGCATGCTCACCTGCAGGAGAAAGGAGAGAAAATGCCCCAGAATCTGGGTTGCTGAATAAATAGGCAGGGGGTAGAGGAGGCAGACCCCTGGTAAACCAGTCTTGCTGTTGACCTGGACGGGGTAAAGATGTAACTGCAGAGCCATTTTATGAAATCACAGGTTTAACTTCCCCTGATGTAGCTGAGGGAGATTGTGTTGTTCTGGAAAAGGCCAGGTGAGAAGGAAATGCAGTAGCTCCCACTGAAGCAGAGTTGAGATGAAGTTGGGGGTCTGAGAGAGGGAGCAGCTGCAGAAAGGCAGCCTGGCAGGAAGCCCCTGCAGCCCAGCCGTCCTATCATGGCCAGGGACTCTCTTAAAGTTCAGCAGGCCACTTGGGTTTCAGGAGCCAGGCTAAGCAGGAGCATAGATTTGCAGGAGCATGGGAGGCAGGTGTGATTTTGTTGTTCTTCTAAGTCATGTTCCATGTCATGGGTCAGACACCTTGGTGATTATTTTAGGGTGCAGGCAACTTGCTCCAGGATTCACTTGTCAACAGATAACTTCATGTAATATTAGCGGTATTTTTAAAGGTCCACCTGATGTTTTTTCCCAGTGGGTTTCTTCAGATTCTGAAATGCTTCACTTGCAGGAGACCTAGAAATCATCTTTTAACCCCTTCTTGCCCCCACATGGACAGAGGTGTGCCTGTGTATTCATGTACATGTGGCTGTGAGTGGGTAACGGAAGCCTTGGTGTGCAATGTGTGGATATACGTGTGTCTGCATATGATCCAAGGTCATCCAGTATAACAGAGACAGAGCTGAGAAACAAATCTGGTTTCCGGTTCTTTTTCCAGAAAGCCGGTAGCCCTTTTTCTGAAAAAGGCTGTTGTAAAAAGCCAGATCTCACCATGTAGGAAATGGTTCCCAGGTAAGGAGGCCTGAGTGAGGGGCTGCCAAGCCAAGAGTTCGGCTTGGGCATCTTGAGCTCACTGTTTGCCTGTCTCAAGGGCTGCCTTGAGTTGGGGTGGGGGAGAGAGAAAGTCAACTTTCATTTCCGGAAGAATAGTGAAGCTCTGGTGAAAGTCGGAAGTAGGGAACGTTTTCTTGGTGCTTAGTTTCTCTTCTCAAAGTCATTAATTTTCTTCTAAAAGCAGCCTTTTGGATTTACTCCTTTTGAGCATCACTGCGCTGAATCAATTGCTGGAAGCATTTGGAGCACGGTAGTCCCCAGGCCACTGGACAGAGACTGCTTTGGCAGCAGGCTGTCAGCACAGGCTTGGCTTCACCCCCTTCTCCCCAGCTCAGCCGGCCCTCTTGCCGCCAAGCTGTCCCTGATGGCTCTGACGCAGAAGTGTGTCTGAGACAGGCCTGGGGTTCGTGGGAGAGCCTCCCCTGGGTTGCTGCTTCTTTTCCATCCACCAGATCAAGCCAGAGCATCTTCAGGGCTCACACTGCCCCCTCCAGCTACTTTCTTGAGGTGTGAGGAGACTTCTTTTATTTCATTAACCTTAAATAAGGCAGAATGCAGTCCTGCTTTGGACTTAGGAGCCTCGGAGACCGGAGTGGGCAAAAGAAGCTGCATGTTCTTCCCACCCCTTTCTAGCCACTCTTGGCCCAGGAGGTTAGTCCCTGCAGGTTCCTAGATTCCTGTCAAAGGGGGGCTTCTCTTGTGCACTTTGAATGCATTTTTTATGTTTCCACTTTGTCCCTTTTGCCAAGGGTACTGGCATTTTAGAGAGCTGGGCACTTGGGAGGATTTTTTGCTCATTATCTTTGTTGCTTAACCGTGTTGGCACCTGGATTTGTAACTAGGGAGGTTTAGAGGGAGGAGAAAGGCATGTGACCCCAGTTTTCTTATTTGAATAAGATGAGGAAAAATTTAATAGCATGGACTCCGTAGGGGTCAGTGTTATGTTGGGCTAGATGTTTTTCCAGGTACTTCGAATGCATTGTCTTAATTTTTTCCTTATAAAGCCTCTATACAAGGTCTTATTATGTGTTCAGGCTGGTCTTGAACTCACTGTACAGCCCAGGTGGCCTCAAACTCTTGTGATCTTCCTGCCTCAGTCTCCCAAGTGCTGGGATATGGGCTTGCATTAGTATCCCTGGTTGACCTCTATAAAATTAATTTCCTATGAATAGCCCTATTTCCAGAAAACTGAGGCACAGACTTAGTAATTTGTTCAAGGTCACTCGATTAGAAAGTGAGAGAGTTAGAATTTAAACTTGGATAATTTGACTCAAACATCTGTGCTTTTAACTATGCTCTTGCTGTCACAAGGGCTTCGTACAGTACTCACAGGAAGTGAGCCACCATATGTGGTAGTTTTGATGTAGCTTATTACCAAAGGAGAGTTGTTTCTGAGCATGACTATAAAGAATCTGTAGGTTTAGATAGGGAAAAACCTGATTCTTACAATGTTAGCTTTTGTAAGGCTAATTTTATTCCATTGTTGTAAGTATTAAAGCAGAGTTGGATGCTTCTTCTTTGAACTTGTGTAAAGATGGGGATTTGATGCCTTGATTCAATGCCAAGGAAGAGGGCAGAAAGCACTCTGGCTATCCATTTCCCTGCTCTGCCTGACCAGGCACAGGGCTGCCCCAGCCCCTCTGCCTTGGGGCATAGTTGGGGAGTAGAAGTGCACCCCATTTCTACCACATGCCATAGGGGTTGTTACATCAGGGTGTGGAGTTGAGGATGCTGTTCCTGAGCCTGCTCAAGTGGATTCAGCATCCACTTCTCCCCCGCCCATCCAGGAGAAGGGCGGAGAAGCTGGAGCAGCCAGCTCTGATTTGCCCATAGGATGGATGCTTCCCGCACAGGGAGGAAGTTGCCATGGCAACACCAGCCGGCTACTGGTTCCTTTCCTAGCTGTTCGGGCCACATCTCTGGGCTGGAAAGCTCTTCACAGCACCACCTTTTCCGCTCAGACCAAATCTGGGGTGTGTGTTGGCGGGGGTGGGGGGTGGATGGGCCCCATAAACTAGTACTCTTCTCATTTTTGGACAGAGGGGAAATGGAGGTTGTCTGAGTTACTTCTGGGTTGTGCAGTGGAGATACTCACATAGATCCTTGAAGGTGGTGGTGGTGGTGGTGGTTCCAGCGGTGGTCGCTGGGGTACAATGGGGGATTCGGAGTTTTAATTCCTGCCCCCACCCCCAGCCTCCTGGAATGAGCACACCAGAGTCCACCCCCTTCCAATTTGTACTGTTTGGCAGAGTTTCCTTTCTTAGATCAAGTACAAACTTTTGTCCTTGAAATTTGACCTGAGGTTTTCCTGGGAATCAGAATGTCCTGCTGCCGTCCATTTCCTCTGGAGCTGGTGGGAATTAGGGAGTCCTTCGGCCCGAGGGGGCTTGGCTGGCTGGAGGGAGGAGGGCTTAGCATATCCTTCCCATCAGTGCCACCCAAAGGCTTGGCAGGCCGATTTCTGTCCCCCTCCCCAACCAGTGTGCCCCCTAGCACTATACTTTTTTATGTTTTGGCAGCTGGGCAGAACTCTTTCAGATTTGGATAATTGAAATATGGTAGAAAATCAAACCAATTATTTTCATAGTTCAAGGTGAGGAGTAGAGTGAGAGTCTGGACCCAAATCACTTAATTTTATTCAAATTATCCTGGAGAGTTGCAGTGCCTCAGGAA